TTAGGAGAAACGAAGGAGTAGCGAAGGGAGAGGAGAGGAGAGGAGAGTTTGTTTGACTATGCTGACTGATTTCGCTCGACTCCAACAGACACGGTGGAGTCTGCATAGTATCAACATCGCCGGGGAGCGTGTGTGCGTGTGTGCGTGTGTGCGTCTACGTGTGCGTGTGTTGCACTCGTGAGTATCAACATAAAAAATCAAATCCCTTCACAATCTCAAGGTCTACCTCCAACATGAAAACCTCACATGTCCTATTTTGGTGTTTTTTCGTGGTTCACATGTTGCTGTACAGCTGTGAGTCCGTTGGGAATTTCACAGCACTGCCCTTCTTATCACTTCCAGTGGAAAGGTGGAAACACTATTTGCACTGTATAAGAAAACTTTGCAGTGCTCTAATCGGTGCAGCAGAACTCATGGTCAGTGTTTCCCACAAGGATTTATTCAGTGCTGCTCAATTATAAACAGAAGTGCCCAGGAGAAATACGGCCTCAGTAGGTGTCTTCACCCTATAATTTATTGAAACCGTGGAAAAACTTTTGTTTGGTTCCATGAATGCATGGAAATAAATCTGAACAGCTGAATGTTTTAGAGGTATGAAGTTGGCCCCTCTGTTATTTGAAACTGTTGGTGGTGTTGCGTATTTTAATTTTGATGTAAGCCAGTAACACGCTGTGATGTTTACCCATCATTTGTGAGCTCTCTTTAATCCCCGGGGAAGTATGCATTTCAGTTGTAACGGCCGATTCAAGACGCCGTAATACTGGTAAGGCTTTCATTACATTAAATTAAATTCCTGGCGAGAACGAGGACGGAACATTTTACACCCAATCTTTTCCATTAAAATCATGTAAGTAGGAAAGGGGATCTCTTCACAGCTAGTACAGGAGGAACAACTGCAGCGACTCTTTGACACTTTCAATGTACACATGGGCGTGTTTATTGTTTTAAGACCAAACTCTCTTTTTTAACAATTAATTGTTCCCTCTATAAAATATCAACAGTGAAAATGTCCATCACCGTTTCTCATCGTAAAAGTTAATGTCTTTAGATTGCTTGTTGCTTGTGCGACCAACAGTCCAAAACCCAAAGATATTCAATTTCCAATGACATGAAGCAGAAAGAAAATCTCAAAATCTTCACATTTGGGAAACTGGAACCAGCAAATGTTTGACATTTTGGGTTGATCATTAACTTAAACGACTATTAAACAATCAACTGGTTATGAAACAATCTCAAATGAATACTGATGCCACCTGAAGCACACAAGATCATCGGTGAGTATTTCTATATAGTTATTCTTAAAGCCTGCTACTGGGTTGGACTTGGTCGGATTCCCATTGAAATCAATGAAACAAAGCAGTTGAAACACTACAGTTTTTGTCCACAGGGGCCACCAGAATCAACTAAAAGTTCCTTGTGGCTCTGCCGTCTGTAAAATATATTTAATGCTGAATTAAATATCGCACACATCAAATTAATGATCCTCATATATTAACCTGCTTACTAAGTTACCAGCTAAATTTTCTCATATTTTATTCATACAAATAAGGCTTGTTTTGGAGTTGACAATTAAGACAGCATTATGGTGCTATGTGTAGGACTGAACGACTAATATATGACTTTATTACCGACAGTGTTAACGACAGTGTTACCGACAGGAATCGGGGCTGAGGAGGACCAACCCTGACAGACAGATGTTCAACATTTAAATGTCTGTCTCCCACACGCCCACATATGGCCTGTCTGTTAGTGATTGACTGTAGGTGCTTATACGTGTACGCAATTGCTGTCAGGCTGACCATGTGTCTGCAGTCGCGTAGTCATTCGCAGACAGTAGGGACACACACGGGCTGGCAGGCAGACAGACAGACCAAATGACAGATTAGGATGGTGGACAGACAGATAAAAAAAACTGTGTAACATCATTTAGAGGAAAAAGATAGCTCTGGAATATCTGCTAGAAGATTTAAATCTCTGCTTACACAGACAGACAGAGCACCAGCATCGCGGTGATGTGAAGATACATGGTCGGGGATGGAGATGATAATCTTAATGGACTGGTCATCTGTCTGTGAGCCCCTGATTCTCTCTCTCACACACACACACACACACACACAGGAGGGTTTATATATCTCGAAAGCTTTCTACTGCTTTCTACTGAAATCAGCTTAAAGAGCAGAGAAAAGGGTTATTGGAAATTACTGTGAGACCAGTAAAAATAGTGTCAGGACATACATAGTGTAGCTGTATGGCTGAAAGTGACTGCAGCAGAATGACCTCTGGGATTTTATCATGAGACTACACACAGAGATCAGGAATGAGACTTGTTATGGTATACTGCACAGAGATGGCTTATGGCTACTTTGTGTGTGTGTGTGTGTGTGTGTGTGTGTGTGTGTGTGTGTGTGTGTGCGCAGTGCAGCTTCATGACAGATGTCTTCTTAACTGGACTAATGGAAACCACTTCAGCCACTGCCTATAGCTACACATGTAGACAAAAAAAAGTCCTTTGGCCATGTGTATAAATCCAGTCCACCTGAAGGCTAACATGAGGATGTTTCATACACATACACAGTACACACACCCACACACACACACACGCTTTCTTGTCCTTCAAACTAAACTGCCGCCTACATTTAAGTAAAACATAAAGAGTGTCTTTTTACCGACATTTTTTTTTTGGACTAATTCTGATGTCTCTTTTAAGATACGTTCTTATCTTAATTTGTCTAAAGTGTCCCTTGTAGAGCTTTGAGGGTGACAAAAATAGCCCTGGCAAGGACACTAAAAGGCACATGCCCCAAAAAAGTCATACCTCCAATGATCTCCCCATTAAAATGTTCCTTTTAAAGATCTTTTTTAGCCAGTTTGTCTGTAATAGGTAGTTGAAAGCAGTGGTAGACAAGAGAGGGTGAGAAAAAAAGAAGTGTGAGGTTGTGGCATCAGTCACAGGATGATGGGTTACACTTTAGCCAACTGAGTCACCAGAATTCCCCAACGTCGTGTTTTTGTCGTCAGTAGTTTGGCTTGACCACAGTATCCTGAACCATTTGCTTAACATGTGGGACAATGGCAGGGTTTGGTTAGAGTGACAACAGGGAAACTGGAGATTTACTGCCCCGAGGTCGACACTTGGATCAGATGCACGATGAGCTCTTCACTTTAGGCTCACTGAATGAAACCTTTTCAATAGCATGTTAATGTAAATGTTATAGTATTAATAGTTGTTTGTGCTATTAGGTTTTTAACAGTTTTTATGGCAGTGGAGAGCCTTGTCAGAAGAAGACTGAAAAAGTGAATACATGTAAAACAATTCATAATAAGTTATAAGTTATAGTTACATGAGGGAAATTCCAGTTTATATCAGCCTGGTGTATTTCCCATATATGTGGCTATTGTGACTCATTATGGCTCATATTAACTCAATACAGAAAGTAGCCACCTGAAATCAATATTATGGCTAACAAGGCCTACGTATTATTTTTATTTGCTTATTTTATTCATATTAGTGCGTAGGACTGTGAACAGAATTATTGGTTATTTTTTACTAGTAAAAAACATTTATTTGATGTTTTTGAACCGATCCTTTCAAATACTACACGTTTATTAATTTCTACCTCATTTACAAACTACAGACGCTCACGGCACAATAAAAGTTGTAGTAGTTACAAACACATCCTGTCTCAGGGACTGATTGAGTGTAATCTACAGAGATTAGTGAGAGCTCATGTAGAACCTGCCAAAACCATTTTCAAGAACCTGTCCTGCTTAATATGAACTGACAGTATTTCTGCCTCACTGGGCTTTCATTAGATCTCTCTTATTTTTGTATTAAATAATTTGTGTTTTGGAGCATAGCACTCCAAATCCTATGTTTGACTCCCACACACACATAAAAAAAAAGTAAAAAAAAAAAAAAAATCAAAGCTTCTTTTTTCGTCTTAAGGATTAACCAGAAGGTTTCTTTTATTGTCTTTGATTTTTGCAAATAAAAATCTAAACATCCTACTTGCTTTGATTTTGTCACACAGCCTGGTGGGATACCAAACTCTACAGTTACACAGTGATCACTCTGTAAGTCTCTGCAGTGTATTTTTTTTACTAACTTGTCACTTTCACAACAAAAAAACAACTCCCTCATTAACATCCATCTGCTGAGTGTTTGTGTGAGAAAGAGAGGAAAGACAGAGGGGGGAAGGAAATATAGAGAATATGTGTGAGACAGAGTGAGAGGATGTGTGGATGCTTAAGTGGACGGCTATGAGAAGAGAAGAAGGGGTGTGTTCAGACGTTGCAGGAACAAAAGTTACTCAGAACTCCTTTATTAAAGACCAGGCTCAACTGAACAAACAGCACCTGGAAAATTCAAACCTACTGACAGCTGTCTAACTATACAAAGACAGACAGAGACAGAAAAAGACAGAGGGGAGACATGCAGACAAATGGCAAATAGATTAACTGACAGCCAGGTTGGCAGAGACAAAAGTCTGAGAGCACTTTTTAATAAAATATTTCATCAATTCGGTTTGTCGTTGAAGAAATAATTTGCATCAAAACAGCTGTAGACCTGGCCTCAAAGTTCTATGAATCACTGAAACTTTTTCAGCCTTTAATCAAACCATTCAAATTCTAGTGAAAACCAAATAGTTCATGGTCCTACAGAAATAATATATCACACAATATCACGGCATACTGTACATTAATACTGGCTTAATACAGTGTAGGTACTATTCCAAAATAACATTGTACTAGTGAGGCGAGAGTGCAAAAACATATATAAATGAGCATTGAGTCCAAATGGGATGTTAGTCAAGACACAACAGCTCTAAGATGGGATGACAAAACTGTTATTTAAACATTGAAAAAGGGGGAGCTTTAAGTGACGGTTAAGGTGAGAACTACGGGCTAATGATGACGACACTAGAGACTATGACAAAGACGACGATGATGATGACTACAACAGATGAAGCTCAGCTCTTGGCTGGCCACTTGTAACTCACCCTTCTCAGCGCGCCCCATGTGAGCTGGGTCCAACCGAAGCAAAGCAGAAAATAATAAGACAGAATTAGATTGGATAGCATGCACAGGCGTAGAGTCACATCTAAGAGAGAAGCTGTGTATTCATAACATAAGGGCTTCAGTGGATAAGTAGAATCAGTTATAGTAAAAATCAAAACCTTTGCAGCAGGTATATATGGCTGGATTGCCATTATCCCCTTGTGTCAAGCATACATCTGGCTTTAATGTACACATTTCAGCTCAGCAGCAGCAACCAAATGAACCAACAGCTTTAGGAAACACATAACACAAATCTGTATTTAAAAAGTAGTGAGGACAATCTGTTGACTTGCCCATGTTCTCACGCAAACAGATGCCCAACCTCAACCTTTACCCTCTGCTTCACCTAACCCCAATGTTAACCCTAAAAATAATCATTATCCTAAGACTGTCGTCACCTGCCACCACATCTCTCAATCTCTCTCTCCCTTACACACACACTCACACACACCAGCCATGTCTCCATATAAATATATATATATATATATATATATATATATATATATGAGTATCACCACACACTAGACTACACAACGGGTGCTGAGACTGCTCACATCTGTGTCTGTGTGAGTGTGCGGGAAAGAGAGAGTGTGTATGTGCACTGTAATGTAATTAATCAGTAGAGAGTGTTGATTACTTAATCTGTCATTAGCCAACCATGTGTGTAAGTGTGTGTGTGTGTGTGTGAGAGAGTGTATGAGTGTGTATGCGAGGCAGCAGGGTGTTTCAAGGCCCCCTTGTACCGACAGCTGTGACCAGAGCCAAACAGGGCAGAGCAGAGATTGATGATACTGGACTAATACCATCATTCATCAGGGATGTGATATTTCAGGGATTTGGGATTTGTTTTTGGACGTGCTGCCTCCCTTCATTTCCAATGGGACTTTAACGCTTTCTTGGTTCACTTCCTGCCTCATGACTGATGATTTACACCCATCATGTACCAGTATCTAAAGGTTAATCCTGACCACGACATTAGGGATATTTCCATCTGCCTGTTTTATGCAAATGTTTAAGTTTGTGCATTAAAATGCCTGAGTGGAAAATGTTGAAATATTGTGTATCAGCTTGCCTGGGGTGAAAACATTGTGATAGATGCTGACGGTAATAGATTATTCATATATACCTTGATGCTACAGGTCCTGCTTCTGCTTCTCACACTTAACACAAAGCACACATGTCATGCTGCTACTCACTGTTACATGCTTTCAAGGCCCCGACACACCACACAAACCGTCGGCCAATGTCAGACAGTCCTGATTTTTTTGGGGCTTGATTGCCTTTATGATAGTGACAGCTGAAGACAGACAGGAAAGGGGGGCAGGTCGGATTCGAACCCTGGGCTGCTGCAGCGGTACATGGGTCGCCAGCTCTACCCACTGAGCCCACCGGGCACCCAGGACAGTCCTAATTTTTGCAGTGTGTTTAACAAAAAATGCCGACCCTTGTCTGACACTTTTCCGACTAACTAATGATGTTGAATCGGCAGCAGAGGGCATCAGTAAGAGAAATGAATGAAGAAACTGAAGAACAAGTAGCAAGAGTGGGCAAACCTACATCCATGGTGCTGCTTTTGTCTATATGTACAGTCATAGGTCTTCTGGTGTGTTTTTTTTTATTACGATGAATGCAGACTACCTCGCTGTAGTCGGTCCGTCACCTTTTAGCCAAGATACAGCGGCGCCTTGGCTAAAAAGTGATGCAACGCAACAGTAGCCTTTGGTCACCACTTGTTCTTTGATATCGGTGTGGTGTGTCAGGGCCTTTACTCCACCAGAAAAAGAATAAAAAGAGTGGGGGTGGGCGCCCGGTTAGCTCAGTGGGTAGAGCTGGTGACACATGTACCGAGGCTGAGTCCTTGCTAGGTTTGAATTCAACCTGCGGCCCTTTGCTGCGTGTCATCCCCTCTCTCTCTGCCCCCCTTTCTTGTCTACCTTCAGCTGTCACTATCATAAAGGCAATAAAAAGACAAAAAAAATACTTAAAAAAAAAGAGTGGGGGTGTCAGCGCCTACATGATCAGTAACATTGTAAAAAAAATGGTTGTCCCAATTTTTCAGAGAGCAGGATGACGTCCTCAAATGTGTTCTTTTGTCCGACATTCAGTTTACAATCATGTAAAACATAAATTCCTTACAGTGGAAAGGCAGGAACTAGTAAAAGTTTGCCATTTTTGCCTGCGAAATGATTCATACAATTAATTGATTGCAAAAATGATAACAGATTAATTTTCTGTTGATCGACTAATTGTTTATGGTCTATTAAAGACAGAATGATTCATTGATAAAATAACTGTCAGGTAAACGATAATGAAAATATAATCGTTAGTTAATCGTAGTTGGGAAGCAGCAATGATGTGTTTCAGGTGCTTGATTAATAATGTAATCATCACAGAGATAATCTGCACTCAATCATGTTTTTTTTGCCAAAATCTCAAGAATAAGCATGAAACATATTATTTGAAACTCTTCTTTTGGCTAGCAGGCATCCTGTTCTAGTAAATACCGTTTCCTTACAGCATGGCATATGGAAACCTGGATTACAACCTGTGTCAGTCGTATCCGTTTTCACTCTTAACTCTCTGACAGCTAAAAGGTTGCTGTTTGAGTCAATAATCCATTTTTCAACACAAACCCTCAAATTCATTCATACACACGGTCTAATGAGGGATTAGCTAATGAATTCTCTCAACAGATTAATTACATTTTACACACACGCTTGTGTGTGCGCAGGCTTCATCCCTAAACGACTTAAGAAATGAGCCAGTACTTTCAAAGAGATGGGTTTTTTAAATGTATCACTAAATTGAAATCCGTAGTAACAGATTGGCTCTGAGCAAAGTGGTGTTTGATTTGAAGAGAAGACATTAAGATAGATCTGAAGGACAGCGGACTGAAGCATTACTCTTAACCAGAAAATGAATAAAACCGCCTTTGATTTGGCGCCATTTTACATGGCATGAGTAGAATGCGAAGGCATTTTCACATTAATCTAAATGAGAGGCAAACATTTCACATGCTCATCTTTGTACCACTGTACTCCGGAGGGCTTAAAACCATCGGCCTCCCTCTTTCTCTTTAAGTGACAGCAACACACATGAGTTGACACACATTTGCTCCACACACACACACACACACACACACACACACACACACACACACACACACACACACACACACACACACACAGCCAGACACACTCACACACACACTCCCTCCTGCCGTTTTCACAGTCTCTTGAGTGGAGGAGATGCCCACGGCCAAAAACCATTGGTTGCATTTCTTGTTTCCCCCCCCTCCTCCTCCTCTCCTCGTTGTCACACTATCACTCTCTTCCTCTTGCCTTTCTCCGGGAAAACACACAATTTTTATTTCATCTTGCTGAAAAGTAATTATAATTAAAGCAACTTGGTTCTAATGTTCAAAATACTGAAATAATTTACAATTATAATTAAACCAGCTCAGATGTGGTGTTCAGTAGCAGCGGCAGCCTTCTAATTCGTCTGGAGACACTAATGGAAAACAATTATTTCACTTCATTAAGATTAAAGACGCCTGGAATCTGTGTCACAGTTCGATCAGAGAGGAGACAGATTTAGAAAGTTGTCAAATTAACATAAACTCAGTTACTGACTTCGTAAAAGCAGCGAGACACACACACACACACACACGCGTTCACATTTATTACACTGACTTTGTAAGTGATAGGCCAAAACAAAACTGCTGCAAAACAGCGTGATAAGAAGAGATAAAAGAGAGACGGATTTATATAAATGCCATAATTTATAGTTTTGACTTTCAAAATGGGAAACTAGAAGATAAAGAAGGAAATGAGAAAGATTTTGAATAAAAAGACGTCTTAACACAAACTCAAAGTGACTTTGTTCAAATATGATGGACAATTTTAAATCCTTGCCACAGATTTTTTTCTCGTCCTTGTGGTTGATTTTCAGCAAGCAGCAGCTACTGATGCTGCACCACAACATAACTCTCCTTCATTATTGAGTTCTGATTTAATAATCACCACTTTTTCTCAGGGACGGTTCGCACTGGCTGTATTAATGATCCGCCTATTAACCCTATCAGCCTCATCGATTAGACATTTCACTGAAGAGACCAAATAAAACGGTTGTCAGTGATCAAAATGACTGTGCTGATCTGCACTTTCTTTGCACCGAATGCAAGTTCCTGTCGTCACGGTGTGATGAACGACACGTTTTCTTCTTAAACTCTGATTTTTCATCAAGTATTCACACTGTGTGCAGAAAAGGGCATGGCAATTATGTATTCCTGGAAATTGGGTGCTTTCATTGCCATTAAAGCATCCTTTTCCCTGTATCTGATTTACTAATTACTGTTACCATTGCTTGATTTTATTTAAAATATGCCTTTTTTTATTTATTCTGCAGCACCATCAACTTCAAGTTCTCTTTTTCAAACCCCCTATTCCACACTGACTATAGCCCCCCTCCGGCTCTCTTAGCATCTAGTCACTAGTATTTACTTGCAAATTAACAGCACTCAGATTCCCAAAGAGGCCTCAAAGAAATTCCACACATTTGTTACCCGGAGGGCCAAATGGCCTCAAGGGGGGGGGCGGTAGTTATGGGGTATAGGGCTGTGGAGGGGGGCAATAAAACGCTCACAGATGAAGTGGTAATTAATGTGTAATTTCTATGCAAATCATTAGCAGGCCTACGAGAATACTGAGGCAGAGAAGGAGCGTTTTTATGCTGTTTCTGGTTATTTCCAGCACTTAAATGGAGCGTGCGGCGTCCTTTATCAGAACCGTATATGGGTTTAGTGTGATTTTGGAGGTCAGCTGTCTCACAGCTGTGTGAGTCTTTCTCTCCCCTTCTCTTTCTCTCTGCGTTGGAGTTCAGAGACGATCAACTGCCGAATGCGGAAATAAAAACGCACAGCAGCCACGCAGACAGAGACACAGGTAGAGGGAGAGAGAGAGAGAGAGAGAGAGTTTGCTTGCGCGGAGACCGAGAGCTGCAGAAAATAGGCTACATGAGGACTTTGTTTTCTCCGCGTCCGACCAGTCATGCACCAGCAGCAACAGCTATAGGATAACTCCTTTCTCCAGAGTTCATTCATTTGCATTTGCATCGTCCCGGAGCGCATCAAACAGCACTGTTGCAGCTTTTTATCCACCCCCCTCCACGGAGTGCATACGTGTTTCTCTGCAGACTACACGGACGAAAGGGGAGCAAATGCAAACACTTTGCGATGCGGATGACTCTTTAAACTGGAGCAACCTGAAGTCCAGGGTAAAAGGGTTTTCCATGCATCTGTAGCAAAATGAGGACGAGTTTAATGTCACGGTCGTTTCATTATCTAAACAATGATCACGCACACGGTTGCATGTAGTTTAACTGAAACCTTGCAGATTAAAATCACGCCGCAAATCTCCACAGATTCAGTTTGTTATAAAAAAAAAATGAAACCGGAGTCTTAAGAGAGAAAAAAAAGTAGATTTACTTCATCCTTCCTCTTTTTTCCAAGTTAAATCACACGGTGCAAGAACAATATTCACTTTATCGATCAGGCGTATCGACGTACAGGCTATACATCCCCAACCATTAGTGGGTTTTTGTGCATGCAGCGCGAATAAAAGTTGGAGCAGAAGAGGATCATTTGGTTTGCACAGAGCTGGAAAAGCTCACGGCGCCTGCGGACCGGATCGACCATCGATAGCTCCGCACACAAGAACCACACTCCACTTTGAAAGACTTACAAACACACCGCAGGCTATAAAGAACATCAAATACATAACACAGCAACGGTGCATGTATTTAAGTGGAATATAAGTCGGATATAATTACTGAATGCCACATGAATACAAGGCACCATAGGAGAAACATAGGTTGGAAACCCCATAAAGTACAAGATCACAGCAATAACCACACATTATAAGTCATCGCTGTGATAATACGTAGATATTATAGTTATTAAGGGGGTGATCTGCGGGCACACAGTAACTTTTTCTCCATTCATGCGCTGTTTTGCGAGGCTGTGCGGGTTGAACGATGTCTCCCCACACTGTCATACAAGCTCTATATTCCGATTATAATGCATGAGGTTGCCGGTGCAACAGCGTGCATTAAAAGCTGTGAATGTCGGACACTGTACTAGCCTCCTTCTTCCTTATTACTGCGAGTAAACGCCGTTTTTAACATACTCCGGAGTCCAAACTGAAAAATTACAACTTCAACACAGACTTCACAATCCACAATCATTAGGTCTGTGATAGCCATTCGTGCCAGTAAGGCCAACCTACTTGGCAAACAGACTTGAATTCAGAAAAAGAGGCGACAATCTCACACGGGTTTGAATGTCGTTAAGAGGAACCTTTCTTTTTTATTTATTTAATAAAAGCATCTTCACTCCACTAAACCTGCACATCCCGCATCTGAGGATATCACACAAGACATCAAACAAAGCACGACGCTACATTTCAAACACAAACGGCAACTTTTCTTCTCCTACACCTCAACACACCTGTCGGGAAATTGGTACGCGTTTACAAGGTGGAAAACAGGGAGGAGAAAGAGAGAAAAAAAAACTCCAAACTTTCATTTCAACACACAGACAACAACAAAAAAACAGACACTAAACTGTCTGTTCGTCCTTACCTGTCGGTATCTGGCCGGAGACGTTACCAACAGACGAGAAGAGAAACAGGAGTCCCAGGAATACAGAGAAAAGTGTATCCATGTTTCCCAAACGTGGCCGTGTTGTTGAGTCCGTAACAGTTTCCCCCCCCCCCGAACGAAAAGTTTCTTTCCTGCGAGTTTCCTCCTCCGTCTTCAGTTGTTTCTGTCTTTAAGGGTTATTATTCCTCCTGCTGTTGTGGATTCAGCCGCCCCATTCTCTCTCCCTTTTTCTCCGGGTTTCTTCTCTCTTTTTTCGCTTCCTACGGGGCTCTCGCGGACACTACACTTTGTTTCACGCGGAGTGAGGGAGCGCGAGAGGTAGAGAGAGAGAGAGAGAGAGAGAGAGAGAGAGAGAGGGGAGGGGAGGGGAGCGCGAGCGCAGCAGAGAAAGTGCGTGACGTCACGAGGCAGGAGTAGATTGGGAAGAAAAAAAAAACGCAAATTAAAAAGAAATACTGGAATTAAACGTGGATTTGTTGTAGTGTGCTGTGACGCTTTTTGTTGTTGTTGTTGTTGTTGTTGTTGTAAACTATACTATATTTCATATACCTATCCCCTCCAGAAGTGCTGTTTTTTTCCTCCACAAAAAAGTACAATTTCCACATTACAATGATTATTAAGAAATAATCTCCTTCTACCTAATTAAAAATGACAGAATCTATGAATATGCAAATTTCTTTCATTCCTTACATTTTCCTTCTGGACACAAGATGTCTCCTACCTCACTGTAAAGTCCATTCTCAGTGGGTGTGCACTGGTGGCTTCAGGTTTCCACATCACACTTGCATAAGAACAAACTATTTGGATGTCACAAATCATGTTCGTAGGCCCCGCCCCTTAAATTTTCAATGAGCACAGAGAAACTTTCCTCTTTCAGCAGATGAATGTGAAAACATCCTTCTAGGGTCAAACTCTGCACAGACATCATCCTGCACAGTGAAGATCAAACGTCCAACTGTAGGAACAAGAAGAAAAAACCTTGATTGGTGGTGGACTTTAAGTTTTGAGGTACTTACTCAAATATTTCTGGGTTTTTCCTCTTTATATACTTCACTAGATTATAGGATTTTTTTGGTAGCCTACTTTTTAGTTCATTACATTTATTTGACAGTAATAGTTACTAGTTAACCTTCAGATTCCAGTTTATAAAGTATACTTTTTTGTTAGTCTATATTATTGTAGAGATATTACATCAAATATATCTTAATTTATTGCCGTATATATTTATTCTGTTAATACTGTTCATAATGTTAATATCTTGCCATAATGTGAATCTTGCCAGCATATTCATATTCATATATCTATAATGTTATTATTACTTTTTCATTACATATTTCTGTACATTTGTAAATTGCACTTTGCTACTTTGCACTTCTGGTTGATGCTATCTGCGTTTCGTTGTTTGTGCCTGTACTTACAATGACAATAAAGTTGAATCAAATCAAATCAAATCAAATAGTAAAGTGTAAGGTTACATGTTAAAGCATCAGTAACAATAATCTACAAATTGAATGTGTATAACAACATAAAATTCTGAAAATTGACAATTTTCATAATGAGTAGCCTACTTTTTTACAGCTTTAGTTACTTTACTTAATCCTTTTACTATAACGTCAAGTTTTATATGGTGGCCTGCAATGGAATATTTTTTACATTGTGCTACCTTTGCTTACTTTTACAAGGATTCTTCTACCACTGTATATACTTTGATTTTATCAATGCTTTATTTGTAACACTTAGTTTTCTTGTATTATAGCTATACTGTGTAGGTTGAACAGTGTAGTGCTGTGTTGTGTAAACACAGTTAAAACAGTATCGAAAGGTACAAATCATTTGTTGTCATTTCTCCTCTGTGACATTATCAATTATAATTTCATTATAAACGCTCAAAAACCTGCTTTGAGAATATTATACTTAATTATGATCATACTAGTTAAGCAAATTTGAATTTGAGATTAAAAAAAAGGCTGAATAGATGATGCTGGATTCATTCATCATCTGCGTGACCTTTATCTTTTCATAAGAATACCCCCACGCATACATAAACTCTCTGAGCAGTTATATTAATGAAGTTAATGTAGATGTGTCTGCCTTTTTTTAAACTAACCAATTATTCACTGAATCAATACAATGTCAAAAACACTCACACAAACTTATTTAATATCACCAGAGACCAAGGTGATGTCTCTAAATTGCTTATTTTGTCTGATGAACAATCCGTCAAATGAATGCATAAAAACCATGTGACAGTGTGAAAGGGGTCGCTCAGTGATTAAGCTACTGAGAATTATCACCAGAATATACAGCTTTATTTAGGTTTATAGCAAAATTCAGCTCATTGTTTAGCTGCCTGGTCCATACATTTACTGTTTGGTTCACTCTCACTGCTCTCAGCCACAGCAGGTAGCTCAGCACCAATGAAAGCCACGCAACAGTTAACTACTAGCTGGTAAACATGGCGGAGTATTTAGCAGCTTAACAGCCAGATATTTCTCTCAGGAGTCGGTAGAGACCAAAAATAGAGCTAAAAGAGAACACTGGACTGTTCACCAGGGGGCCAGAAACACAACTTCAAATGATAATGTTGCTCTGTTACTGCTGGATGTGTAAATTAATTGGTTTGTCTGTTCTGAGCTACTGGAGAAACATGGCGATTCAACATGGCAGACTCCACAGAAGAGGACCCTCTCCCTGTAAATGTTTCATTCTAAGGTAACAAAAAGGTAAAACATACCTATGAGTATTATATTCCATTTCTGCTAATATATCCCCCTAAATGTTACACACTAACATCTCAAAGATTTGTTTTTCCAACTTGTTTCCACCGCCTCCAATCGGCCATGAAAATCGAGGTATTGCAGCTTTACATTCCTCCCCAAATAGCACCCCTTGAGAATAGAATAGAAATCAAAAGAAGAGAATCAACCCATATCCTCCACAGGTTTAAGTTAAAATGCTATGTCTTATTATATGATAATGTCTGTGTTAATGTTAATATCTGTAAATTGAACTTGAACTAACATGAACAGCACAGATTCAGATTCAAGACAGATTCAGTAGAGACAAGAAAGAGTTCTGCAGGACAAAAATCACATTCTTTCAAAGACATTTACCGGAGCACCAGGGCTTAGATCTGCAACGTCATCAAGATGTACCGCCAGGAGGTGCTTCTTTTTGATTTAAAGGAGACCTTGTGGATAGTTGGTGGACTGTGAACATAACTGTATTTTTTATTTGTGCTTGAACCTTTCTGTCAAAACGTGATTTAAACTACTTTAGCATTTGGTTGAAGGATGAATTTTATACCCTTGGTTTCAGACCACAAAATCCATCACCAGAAAAGTGCATTTAGTTCATATAGCAAATTTTTGACTCATTTTCTCCATATGCAGCTTACATGTGTGGGTATTATGTGGGTATTATGTGGGTACCTGTGCATTATTTAACTTATTAGCACCAGTTTCTGTGTGTTCCACAATTAAAAACAAATCATTTGCCCACATTATACCATCTGCCAACAGTGGTGACAGCAGCGTGTGTCAAAGTGGGGCTAGATGACATCATGACAGGCCTGCCAAAAAGACAAAATAGATGTTTTGATTTGGTACACAGCTGAGCTAAAAATACATGGTGTGGATGGAAATGTACAAGCAGGGAGTCGCAGTGTATCCTCTAAGTGTGTTTTGTCTGTCTTTAGTGCCACCTCTCCCACATTAAAGCTGTGAAAAATGTCTTCTCCCAAGTATCAAGCTGTGAAAGACAGGGATATTCACATAGGCAAACTTTCGGTCTCTGCAGAGACAAATAAATCAGTTTACAGATTTTCACAGGGTTGCTGGCTTGTTGGTGTGCTGGTAATTACAGTGTGCTTTCTTTCTGTCCTGGCAGTAAATGTGACTCTCTGGCCTGGAATTGTAAATGTCCTGCAAATAATCCCGGGTGTCCTGTCACCAAGTATCACTCTGAAGCTACTACTCTGCTTCAAAATGGGAATTTGCTGTTGTTACACAGTGTTGGTACCCTGCCATTACAGACAGCAGTGTGTCCTAACTGTTGTGTTTTTGCTGAAGTTGCAGGTTCCAGGTTGTTATTTGGAGTTATTTTTCTCGTACACACTGCTGTCATGCTATACTTTTGTATGCATTGATGCAGGCAGCCTTTTACATTTGCAGGGTTTGTGTACAGTGGGTGGAAATCGTCTGAGCGTACCTGCGCTTTCAACCTGGGAATGATTTTGCATGGGTATGGATAAAACTCTGCAGTCAGGGATGTCTGTCTAAATATCAAAGTGTTCATCAGCTGTCATATGCATCCGAAGTACAGATAAAACTAGGTTTTAAAAAAACATTTCTTGCAGAGAATATTCTCTCTTAATGACTGTGATATGTACAGATCTTCTATTCAGTGCTACATTTGATGGACGTGTGCTGTAAAGTACATTTAAAAGTGGATTTTATTACTTAGATTTTCATGTGGAGACATTTTCTTTGCTTCTTGTATTTTTTTTCAAAAGCCATTCTACCAAACATTGTCTTTCACAGTATGAATTCTGCTCCGCAGTGATTTGAATGTGTTTGTAATCCTCCCACTATTGTTTCTCACTCACATCAAACAAAACTATCATGTTGCAACTCTTAGCTGGCTTCAGGTGGAGGAAAAACATGGCAGGTAGTCATTGCTGTGTAATAACAGATCTGGTAGACTGAAAGTTAGTCTACACAGAAAAATCTCTGTGCTGGAAATGGACAGCAAGCATAAATAGATTTTTTTATTTGGAACCATCGGATGACCCTGTTCAACCCCCGATGCAGATACATTGTTCCTGTGCAGGCAATTTCCAGCAATCTAACCTCTCACAGCACTCACTGAGCTCACCAGTAGCTCAATGCAATTTTGAGACCAAATGTTCCATCCAGTGTACAGCCTGGGATGGATGGCAGAGGAGGCTTCTGTGTTTTTAGACCAACCATATCACCAGAAGGGAATGTAAATTATTGGACGATTTTTGCAAACCCCCCGAATTAAGTTAAGCGACAAATGTATTTATTTCTGTTCAAGGGCAATGTTTTTAGCCACAGTAGCTCCAAGGCTCTATGGATGTCAATGTCAGTCCATCACGTTGGTCCAGACTGTAATATCTCAACAACAACTGGATGGATCGCTATAGTTCCCAGTCTGTTTTCACTTATCCAGGGGAATATCTCAACATGACGGAATGGCACATTTTATTCAGACATAATGGTTCCCAGAATATGTAGCCTATGACAATGGTTTTGGTGATCCCCTGACTTTTGCCTCTAGCGCCACAATAAGGTTTA